AGGCAGCGAAAATAAGCAGCCATATAAGCCATATTTTATACAGAATGCTGTTTAGAAGACGAAAGTAGCCTGGTGTCTCGAAAATCCGTTTTAAAAATTTTCATAGGCAAACAATTTCTGTGTATGCACAGACGTTTGTTTAAGTAACAAGTTCTGACTGAGAGATATTTACATAAAAGGCCTGATTAGGATCAACTGATATCCGTTGATCTAGGTAAAAAAAAAAAGTGTTTCTAAACGCACATCATTGTTCCATTTTATTGTCGTTTCTGGGCGGCTGAGTACATTGTGATGACTTTGACAGCTAAATAATAAATAATAGGTCATTAGTCTTCAGTGGAGTGGAATGGAAAACAGGATTGGAAAGCTTTGGTACGGCTTACTAGCTACGCTTCGTTTAAGGGCGGCTGAGTACATTGTGATGACTTTGACAGCTAAATAATAAATAATAGGTCATTAGTCTTCAGTGGAGTGGAATGGAAAACAGGATTGGAAGCTTTGGTACGGCTTACTAGTTACGCTTCAGCTGGCCCGTTCTTGAAACATTTTTCACATCATGCTTACAATTCAAGGCTTTTTCGTTCTATTCGCTATAATTCTTCAGTTGATGATCCTGTATTTCTTGACGGAAACGAGCAGAGCTGGACAGCGGAGGGTTACGGCAGAGGTTCGAGAGCAGCGTGCGGTTAGAAGACGGCAATTGAATAGAAACGGAGAGAGAAGGAGGAGAGGAGGGGAGAGCGCAAACTACAGCGTCCCAACAAACAGAAATCGGCATCCCACAGAAAATGATGAACGCCAGGGCTAAGTAACCAGGGTAAGCTATTTAAGCACCTTTTTCTGAATCAGTTAGATAAGCTTTCTTGAATGGAATTTGATTAAAAGATCTAAACACTTCCTACCCAATATGTTCACTTTGTTTCCGGCCGCCACCCCTGCTCTGCGAAGTCTTGACGAAACGTTGGTAATTTATTAAGGTTTTTAGACCGATTTTGTTAGTTGAGCTAGTTACTTTTCTCTTTCCGCTATGGAGGAAAGCTTTTCTTGGTACTTTTTTCGTTAGCTTTCCTGTTCATTTTTCCCGTGTAGGTCCTTGGAGCGGAGTATATTGAAGCCGGAAAGCACGTTTTGAGAAGAGATGATATTTTAATTCACACTTGCGATGATTGAGGCTAGTCTTTTTATATATACTTGAAAATGTTGTAATTGAAAATGTAAAGAAATAGGTAGCAAAACAATTCAATTATAACCAAATAACAAAGTGTGATAGGTCTGATAGTATTTTTATGCTTGTATGGTTCTGAGGAGCGTTATCTTAGAAGTAAAATAAAGCGGCTAGTGGTTTTGTGGTGTCTCAGTTTGTCTGAAATTGTTACAGGTCGAATGAAGCTTAAAAGTTATGTCAATTAATGAATTTTTTTATGTGTGGTGCAAAGATTAGCTGAGACTTGTTTGTTTCGGTCGCCCTATAAACGCCCGAGTACAATAGATTGGTCATAGGAACGGTAATCCTATTTGGATAAATATCAGTATCTGGGCAACTGCCCACCTACTCCGATTTTCCGATCAAGTTTTGCCCGTTCCGTTGCTCTTATAAAATTATATTGTCCCTACTTCTACGCTCAATGGAAAAAGCAAATACATGATAATGAAATGCTCGCGAGGTTTTGAGCATCAAATGTCACGCAAAGGTTGAAATATTCACTTTCAGTATAAATCTTTATTAAAACTATAATGCTGATAAGGAAAAAATTGCTAGAAATGTTGTTTTCAGCTTTTTCAAACCCTTTGTTCCTCCTTTGTTAATGCATCCCCTGCTGTTTTGTATCGAGGCGATAAAACTTCAATGAAATATGAATGTTTCCATGAAAACTTAATTGCTTAAAAGGTGTTGCATAAAAACGCTATTTGTCTTGCAATGAGGGTAGACACTGCAATTTGAATTGACATTTCCACTGTGTTGAAAAAGTGACCAAAGCTGATCAGAATACAGATGGTTACCGTAATTTCCGGCCGTTTAACTGCACGGCCGATTACCTGCACCGGCCGATTATTGCATACGGCGAAAAAAAGAGTTAACAGATTTTCCGCTCTGGTGGATTAAACCCGCACGTTATGTTATTCAACTTTTTGGTGGCGAAAACGTGACATTTATTCAGACGCGTGCACAATTCTGTGTCAATGTTAGAATATACCTTATTGATAAAATTATACAGTAAAAACACTAGCGACCCATACCCAAATCTCAACGTTTCATACTTGACAGAATGCGAGTTCGTGGCCACATGTTGTGCGAGCGATCGTTCAGCGCCATGTTGATTTGTTGAAAGAAAGTTGGGGCGAGTGTTAAAACTTGAATTATAAAGTAAATTCAGTTCAAAATCCATTCAAATCTTCATCCTCAGCGTCACTATTAAGTCCATTAATTGTGCATCGAGTACAGGATCCAGAATTGCGGCAGATGTTACTTGTTTCGTCGTCACTGATGTCGGATGTCTGAGATGCATCATCGTCGGTGCCACGTGTAATTCCTGCTTTTCCAAAACCGTTTTTGATGGACGAAACTTTTACTGCTTTCCAAGCTTGCACAACCCCGTCGCAGACTTCGGCATGGGTGGCCTTCCTCATTGTTCCTGTTTCAGTAAAGGTATGGATTCCCTCTGACATCCACTTCTCTCACTCCTCACAAACATGGTTTTTGAAGGAACTGTTCACAGAAATGTCTGACGGTTGTGACTTTTTTGTAAGGCTTCTAGGAATCACTGCGGTGGTTGTTTTGTGATCAGTTCTATAAGTGTTTCGAATGCCTTCATCGATGTGTGTGCTGAAAGTGTCGAAGATAAGTAGCGAAGTTCTATCGAAGAAGGACATTGGTGTGGCACGCCAAACTTTCTCACCCCAGACAGCCATTCCGTCTCCAAGAACTCGTATTTATTTATTTTATTGATTAGTTTTTATTTTTAAATCGGATTGATTGACAAGCTGACAGGAATTCTTTTGATCAGTCATTCAGTGTAGAGAAGCAAAACCAAAACAATCCTAGAGTACTTTCCACTGAGTTTTCCAAACCAATCACAGAGTAGAGGAACTCAAAACCAATTGTAAACAATCTTTGGTTGATCTTAGAACTATTATTTGAAAATTGCTTTGCTCAGATATTACATCCAAACTTTAACCTGCCCATCCCACCCACAGGTTGCCACCCAGCTGTAAGGTGGGGTGGTAGGCAACATCTGTGCATGGAGCAGAGTGAGCCTCTATTGTCCTCATCACACGAGCTGTGCTGTGATCATAGAAAAAAATTTTCCCATCAGCTGACCCAGAACAAATTATTTTCCATCAGGACTGAAATCACATCTACTATGATAACCACAAACCTAAAAGTAACAAATTAAAGAGTAATAAGAAAGAAGTGTTCAGTTTAACAAAAAGTTTTCTTGTAGAGTCCTTTACATTCCCGTAAGGGATGGATCTGACTTTGAAATCTGTTTCTGCGTCACACTTTCCACATCACAAGCTTTCCAAAATGAAAGTAAATATCATTCTGTTTGCTTCATGAGTTGTGAATGAAAATGATTTTATTGAGGCAGTGAGCAAAAGATGGGGTGGGAACCAGGCCTGGCATGTGATTGGGGATTCCTGACAAGGAATTAATGTGGGGGGTGGGGGAAAGTTTGTTTGAAATGGGCCTTTCCCATGTGGACTTGCAAACCAAAGGATTTTCACTGGAACATATTTTTTTCTCAGATGGACCAACCTCCAAGGGTAGGGAATTTTTCAAGATTGCATGCCATAATAATGTAATTGATATTGTAACACATTAAAGTTTATTACCTCATGGTCTTCATATCTTTCAAACTTATTCAGCTTGTATGATTTTCTTGTTGAGAACAAAGTAGTCACCATTTGACTGTGCCACAAAGTGTGAATCATAAGGGTGGACCTCCAAGCAAGTGCATGTAAAGGCTTCCTGAAAATACCAAAATTAATATACTTTTATCTCTCATGAGTAAAATACAAGTGATTAGCATCTAATTTCTCCTTACAACATCACATCTGAATGACACCTAAAGGTCACAAGAATAAAGGAAATGATCCCCAACTAAAGAGCCTCTTGATTTTTAAACAAATTCTCCTTATCAGCACCTTAAGAAATGTATAAAGAACAGTATGGAGAATGTACATACTGATGTTAGGGTGTAAAGGGTTCGGGGTACTTTGCTTAAAGTGCAGTCTAATTACCTGATAAATTTGATTTGATAAAACTGCTGTTGATCTAAAATCCCACACCATAATCCCTTTGTCTGTTGAATTCTGTCTGACAACATCAGCAGCAGAAACAAATTCTTCTGCTTATGGTAGAAATGTGATATCCTGTACTTGACCAAATAGAGCTGAGTATGTTGCTGCAATCTACCAAACAAAAGACATTCCCAATGAAAATTCTATCCAATTATTATCCTACTGTGGTTCAATGACAAAAACATTATTAGTTAGTTTGTGTGGCTGTCATTTTTTGTGGCCTGGCCATTTTTATTTGTGTCAAGTACTCAAAAAATCGCTAGTTGTGAATTAGCTATACCATAGCTTACAATCTGTTTCATCCATGTCCAAGAAATATAAATAAAACAATGTTCACATTGTAACAGCTTTCACATCAGTTGATAGGAGTTAATCACTCATGCCTGTAATGGAAGTGCTGTCTTAGGATCCACTGCACTAGTCACAAAGCTACAAAACATAAGCCTGCATCTAGGAGCCTGGAAAATACTGAACCAATCAATCAGCCTTCACTATCATGTCACATCTCTTTTTATCATACACAGGAAAAAAATGCAACACATCTTAGGAAATTTTGCAGACTTTGTTGGATCCTAAAACTCTACCTTCACTCTAATGTAAAAGGAACTTCTCGAGGCAGAAAAAGTTATTATTATTCTCACAAGAATTCATTTTTACAGGAAGATTTTATGACATCAGTCCAGAAATTGTGCACTTACACTTCCAGTCCTCTTGTTCCAACACAGAATGGAAGATTTAAAAGTCCCAGCTAAGAACAGGGTGGGATGACTGGGATGAAACTGGACACAAGTCACAGTTTCTGTGTGGAAACACTTTGATTTCCTTTCCTGTCAAAATAAGAAGCAACATAAATCAATAAATGTTTAAGCATCTAATTTAATCACAGACATGCTTTGTAGCACTAAACATAGGAATATAGAATGCACACCAAATCAATTAATTATAGCCCAAAAACTAACACTGTCAATTAACACTACTAAACTGATAGCATAATAACCCCTCAAAATGCACAAAGAATAGGGGCAGCCAGGCAGGAGTAAAGCTCCAGCTCTCCAAGCAAATATTTGGTGGGGGCTCAGCCCTCAATGTTTCAGGTTCCACAATATTGCTAGCACAGTAAAGCATAAGTTTGGAAAAATATTCAGTCTTGTAATCTTTTCATATTGTTTCATCAAGATTATGCTTAGCAAAATTATATCTGGTACTAAGCTTTTTTACCTTTGAACAGCACCAGCGTGTGTTTCAAGAAGCAGACATTAGGAGTTTTTAGGATAATTTGAGTAACAGTTCGTACCTGGCTTAACCGTTAACTCCTAAGATTGACTAACATCAATTTTCTCCTTACTACTGTATATCACCCTTGAATCAAACATTAAGGTCATGAGGATGAATGAAATGATCACCAACTAAAGAAGTTCTACATTGCTAACCAAGTTCTCCTTGTGAGCACCTTAGGAAACATACGGAGAACAGTATGGAGAATATACATACTGATGTTAGGGTGTAAAGGGTTAATATACGGGATGTCAGTTTCCCCCACCCACCCTCAATCACACACACAAAAACTTTAATGTGCCAAACCACACCTGAGTATACAAGATAACACTCTCCACCTAGTTATGTTTCCCTCATCTTATCACCTGTCTCTTGCTTAATATTTTCATAATGTAGAGCAAAGTTGTACATTTACAACTTTGTTTATACACTCACAATAAATGTTTCAAATACCTGTTTTCACGTCAAACAGTCTTGCAGTTTTGTCATAACCACAACTCAACACTTGTGACCCACAGTGACTGCATTTGGCATCTTTGACTGCGTGTGTCCTAAACACAAACTTTATGATCCATCAATGCAGACAACAACAAATGATTATTACTCTCTGTAACATTCCATCTGATGCAGTTGACACCCTGTGTGTGACCTTTAAGATTTAAATGCAACTCCTTTGATGGTCTGCATACCTGATCTGTGTCCTTGCGGTTTGGAAATTCAGCTTCATCTGAGTGATAATTTGCTCCTTTCAAGGAGCCATTTCTTGAGGTTAAATCGATGTCTTGTAACGGCTGATTTGCCATAAGGGATAAGGATGTTGCTTGAACCAATTTCTTTCTTTGTCTCTTAGACACGTAAGGTTTGACGTTTGGTCCTGAACTTATCAAAGATGACATCGTTTTCTGGTTACCTGAATTGAACAGTGCTGGAGATTTCGCATTTTTCTCAGTACTTGTCCGGAAATAACCACGCGCAGAGGTTTTATGTTAATCATCAATTAAGAGTCCAGAAAAATCATTTTGAGTACTCACAGATGAATTACAGGTGTTTGGAATCTGTTTTAATCCAGTTGGGTTATTTGAAAATAATCTGCTTTACGCTCCATGCTTGACAGGAGATTCTAACTTTCCATTCTCGGTTTTTCTATTGCTCCCCGCGTAAATTACGATTTTATCAGATTCCGTAACCTTTAGTTTCTTTTTCGGGGACTCATCGCTTTCTTCAGATGATGAACCACTATTGTATGCAAGTCGACCTTCCATACTTCACCGGAATATTTTAGGAATATAGTTAATACGGTGCAAAACAATCCGCCATTTTGATTACACAAACTCATCCCCAGGATCTCTCGGAAAAATAATTCAAGATGGCGGAACCCGGAAGTAAACTACCCGGAAGTAAAAGAGCAAGAGCGGTGGTCTGTAAAAATCGAGCAGAGGTGTTGAAAATAAAAAAATTGAAATTTTTTCAAACTTTGCCAGAACATAGGTATGAATGGCCTTAGTTGCGAATATGGCCGTTGTAACAACATAAACCGGTAATATGCATATACCAGACTATCGAAAACTGCCCACATTGCCTTGACTTTTTGGCTTCAGGAGAAAATTATATTTATATTGAATATGAAAGAGACCTGTTTCGAAGTTTTTGTATGATATAAGAGGGAATTCGAGTGTTTTGGTATTGTTTTTCTTAATGTGACGTGCAAGTCACGTTGGTCACGTAACGCACTTCTTGAACTCAAATACGCTCATATAAATCGCTCTAAAAATTCGTAGTTTAAGTAGCCCAAAAATTTTATTGCGGTTTCTAAAAGAAGAATCCTTGTTCTTGGCAATGGTTATATTGTCTCAGTTTATGGAGCCATGTAACAATGGCCGATTTTAGTCGCCAAAGTTGAGCTATGTTTTGATGGATGAAATTTTACCTGAATTAGAAAATTCGTACAAAAATCGTATTTTAAGGAATCTTAGAAAAAATACTTCAGAGCCCTTGAAAAACATCTCTTATTTTAGAATTTTTATGTGGTTTCCAAATTGATGGCGAAATAAATTTTTTTCGGGAAAACACGGTTATGAACCCCCAAAACACAAAATGCCACCGTTCTCCCAAAATAATTTTTGTTCGGCATTTTTGATATTTTTCCGTAACTAAGGCCATTCATTCATTCGTCTTGGCAAAGTTTCTTTCTTTCTTCAATTTATTAGTTTCTTTTTCTTATCTCCTTATTTGAAACTAGAGTAATACTCTCCAGAAAATTGCTTTGTAAACCAGTGAACATTATTGAATAATGATATTTACTCTATTTCAGGCTGCCGTTATCGCTAAAAATTTATGCAAAGTGGATGATCTAGAATAAACACAATTGGTGTTATCTGCTTCTTTCCACCTTAAACCTTTCCGCACTGGTGAAAAAGTTTTTTTATTGAGAAATTTTTTCCGGGTGAAAACTAGACAAAATTGTCACGTTAGGAATTATATCCAATTCATGGCTGAAACAAAACTTCAGCTATTCTTACTGACAACGAGCTTAAAAACGTTCAAATGACCTGTAACCACACGCATGTTTTCATGTTCTTTAATTAGAAAATCATAAAGACAAACCGTCTAGGCTTGTAATCAAATATATTGATGACCGATCCAAACTCATACTATGACTAAATTTTTTTAATGCCTTTAAAACGATTTCGAAGCTTTTTTGCGTAGAAGTGATCCTTTTTATAAGATCGTGTTGCTAATTGATTTGCGACTCCCAATATATAAATAAGCTAATTTGAAACGATAAAGGAGATTGTCCGAACGCTTCATGTTTGTTCAACACACAACTGGTTTTAAATGGTTTCACCCACATTTTCTTAGAAAAAGCTCATTTGAATAAACCAACAATTACTTTAATTGCCTCAGGGGTTTTTCCTATCTATCCATTCAAAATTGTAAACCAAAACAAAAGATTCTTTTAATTAGACTGGTTTCGCTGGAAGACATCCAGACCAGCGTTTGCATGACTCCAGCGGCTAATTTTCTTTTAAAGTAAATTATATCAGTGTCGAACTGGTTCTTTATTTATTTCAATGTTTGTATCGTATTCTTGAGTGGAAATAATTTTGCTTAGGGTTAGGATCTTTTGGCCCAGCATGCAGCATTGCAACCCTCTCCTCAATGAAAGCCTATTTCTGGCAAATTGCGAGACAATATACTGAATGAAGCTTTGGCTGCGAACTAGTCATGATAAAAGTCACCGCCTCTGAAGTGATGCGTTTGTTTTCATGTCGCTCTCCAAGGGGAGTTTAAGAGCTGGGCTATTGTTCGAATAATAGCGACTTTTTTATTGGATGCTACCATCTGCTGCCTGAATTCAAGCAGCAGTTGGCAGTATCCAATATAAAAAATGTCTAGTTGACCGATGTAAATTAATAAAAATTGGCTCTCGTTACCTGCAATCTCATCGGAATACAAAATGTAAAACTGTCAATGTATGTGAATATATTCTTCTCTGTGGACTATATAATGCTTAAAATTCCATTACAACTCATGGCGTTCCTGAATCAAAGTGCACCTGCTCTCCCGTTACAGACGCTTTTTTCATTTATTATTCATTTATTCATATATTCTCCAAAATTGACACATGATATTAACAGGTCTGCAAAAAAATACAATGCACCAGATTGTAAACATTAAATACACAACCATTAAGGGAAAATTACAGCAATCCTTTCTCCAAATAATCCAAAAGAATCAAAATCTCGTTAGCGAGGTCCATTGATCCTTAAAAAGATAGTTTCTCATCATGCGTTAATAGGATGGGCTTTGCGGATGAGCATACCGACAACCGAACTCAAAATATACAACATCAAATTTTAATCATTCTAAATTTAAAGTTGACTCTGTCCATGGATGAACAAACTCGTATGGCGTCCTGGCTAATTAACCATCATGACAAAGGGCCAAAAAAGAAAGATAGCCAATCTCGATATAGGAGGTAATGCTTTCAGATCAGAGTTTTTATTCTTTTATATATATCCTCAGTGCAAGTTTTCCTCATTGTTATGGGCTGACCAGCAACCACTCGGCGCTTAAAGGCGAGAGTGATGTGGGCTGTCATATGTGATTTTTCCATGGCGTTTCGTATATATACCTGCTAATATCTAATATGTCTACCAAAATGCCCTACAGTTTTGTGCAATACTATCTTATCTTATATGGCCGGCCGAAGAGAAGGTTGTGCCGATCACGTTATTCTTCAAATTCAATTCTCTGGTTTCACAGGCTCCCTCAAAGGAACCCCATTAACACGAAGAAACATTCTGGATGCGATTATGCTGAATGACAGTTGAGCCGGAGGAAGCGGGAAGCGCTACTGTCGATTTTATGACTTTTGCCCATTTCGACAATGACATTCTGCACCTACACAACACATCGATAAATGCTAGAATGAATATTTTTGAACCTCACGGGCATGTAAATGTTACTCACAAAATTTTCATAGTCAAATTACCAGTCGCAAAAAGGCTGAGTAGAATCACAATGCGCGTGATGTAAAGGGACGTATATCATTGATACCATTAACTATTATACATTTTCGACACTTCTGAGGCACTTATCAACGTTATACCTCACACGCGCGTATATCAGCTCAAACGAAATAATCGCTATTATATAATATCAAAGAGTTAATCAAACTGAACATGAAAATAATTACAAGTTATCGGAACACAAGAAAACTTATAGATTATGTTTGTTGCCATTTACGATAAGTTTAGACAAGTTTACAATATACTCTAAACTTTTTAGTCTGTAAGAACTCAAATAGTTTTAATAACGTCGTTCTGTTTCTTTCTAACTTCGCGAAACCTTATCATAGACACTGGCAACTTAGAAAAGTCTGAAATGTAAATCAGGTGCTCACACATAGAAAACCAAAAGAGGGACCAGTCGAGTCCGAAAACGATACAAAACGATTCACACGCCTTGCTATATTCATTAGCGACATAGGTGCATTTCACAATGGTCATTATTCATGCATGTCAATTGGACCCAACTGCGTGTTCTCTTCCTTTGTTTACATCGCGAATATTAGGAAAATTAAGACTTCAAAACGGAATAATAGAGTATTTGCTTAGTAATCACTGATACAGAGCAAGTTTTGAGGGCCCATGCAGACGAACTGCAGCTGACTCTGAGTGTTTAAGTGGTAATCTAGAAATGCTGAAAAATTAGCTAGAAGATATCCATTAGAAAGATTAAGCAATAGTGACATGCATGATTGGATCAATTATCTTTTCGAATGAATAAACGTTCATTACAAGGGACCATAGTACAAAAGCGCCGAAACCCTGCTTCTTCTTACCACATATCTAAAAGTGAATCGGTCTTGTTTTAGATGCGCCAAGATGTCATCTGTTTGCACCCACTAAGTATTATGGTAAAATAACAAATTACACAGGTCATCACCTGTATCTTGGATCTTTGATCGTACATTAATGGGACTCTAATTTTCTGTCCCGAAGATTATCTGTATTTTCTTGAATAAAAAAAGTTTCGTATCTGAGGAAGCGCATTCTTTAAAACTGGATTTTGCGACGAAAACTCTATATCTAGAGAAGGTTTTTTATCGTTACTAAAAGGATTTGGTGACCAGTCTGTTGCCTACAAAACATATTACCTATAAACCGCCATGTATCAAGATAATGCCAGTCGTCCTTGATTCGTATAGAACAAAGTGTCAGCAGGTAACAAAAAAATTTATTTAAAAAGATCGTAATCGTTGGCTTGTTTAGAAAGTGAGTGGAATAGTACTGCGGCGGCTAGCCTAGTCTGTCGGTATCAGTTGAACGCGCCGCCAAACTTCACTAAGAAAATCCGATTTCGCGTTATCTCGTTGGCTCTGACTTTTCGCTGAAAACACTTTGCTCTCGAGTCGTTCATGCACTAAATTGACTGTAACCTGAGCACAGCTCTGTGAAAAAGCTTGCATGTTGAGTCTCGACGTGGACAGATGGACCGATAGTAACTAGAAGGTTTTGTGGAATGATTACACGTCAAGTGTACTAGCTGGGTTGCGTTTAGCCTGCCAAATTCAAATTTTAACCTGCCCACTAGAAGTTGTCAAGAAAATTCAAAGACTTCTGAAAATGACGTGGGAAATTATCCCATTTATCTTCGAGCCGGATGAAAGGATGAAAGGTGTCTGGTAATTGACGAGCGGTTATAAAGTAGGCTCGAGGTATGTATAAGGCTTACCAGCGGCTCTTTGAAGCAGGTATGATTAAAAAATTGTGTCTACTTGTCAGGTACACACCCAATTACCAAGAAATTGGCCAGCTG